CCTCGATGATGAAACATGCTCCACACCTTGACAGACGATCATTCAACGATTGACACGTGACGCGCAAGTCAGCTGAAATGGTATCGCATGAAATGATTCTGCAAATTTCTGCAACTTGTTTGTCAAAACCTAACTTGATCCACGACAAGCACTGGACTCGCAAGCTTAATTGAGATCCGGGCGTGTCCAATGTTGGTAGTTGAAGCCTTGGAGCAAGTTAACATACATGAAGAAACACAAGTGACTGGAGAAGAGAAACAACAGTTCACAAATTACATGTGACATGTGACATCATGCAACTGAAACGCGCCAATTTTTGCACCTCCCTGCCGACTTGCCACGCCCTTTTAGACATGACATCTGACACATGTCAGACACGTCATTTTGACATCTGACACATGTCAGACACATGTCATTGACATCTGACACATGTCAAATGACACATGTCAAACATCAATCATCAACCACACGAAAAGGGCACTGTACATCTGGCATGTGCATTAAGCCATGCATCAAACGGTCAACCCAAGCTCGGTAAATACCTGGGGCTCGGCTGTGAACAACGAGCTCAATGACCACATCTCTCCTACCTACCACGCGGCCCTGAATCGGGCACTCATACTCGCACATGGCAGGTGGATCCTTGAACACATGGCACTTGCCCTCTTGCAGCTCGAAGGTAACCATGGCAACCTCCTCATCTGTCATGATGGCAAGTGACAGCGGTGTCTCAGATGTCACGTCCCCCATCTGCTCTGCCAACTCTTCAGTAGCTTGAGCTCGAGCAGCAGCGTCATGTGTCTAGTCATGTGTCTCCTTCATGGTTTGTCGGTCGATGCGACATGTACACGGCACATGACAAATGGCACATGACAAATGCACAAAACAACAGTGTCAACCAAGCTCCTGTCTGGGGACACATGCCATATCAGGCAGGAGCGCCTCAAGATGAGGAATGAGATGTGTCTCCTGCAGCCAATGCCAAGTATGTAAAACGGCACATGACAAATGACACATGACATCATGGAATCCTCGTCAGCTGTCATTGGGCGCCCCATGCAGCGTTCGATGAGGTGGTCAATGTCACCTGACAATGGTACAAGATCGACAAGTGGCAAGTGACAAGTGACATTAGTCATATGTCATGTGTTCACCGACATGCAGTTCACCGACACGGATTTTAGACGCCAGCCTTGTGTCAACGGGACACGTGCCATTCTGACCAGCGGGGCAACCCGAGCACATGCCGACAGAAAGTCTTCAGACCATGGCTCAGCCCGCTCAGCCCTCCGACTTGCCATACTGGCAAGTGGCACTTGGCAACTGTCAAGGCGTGCACAGCAAGTCAAGTCTGCCAAATGACAAATGACATCAATTGTGTTTGACAAATGACAAGTGCTTCATTTTCACTCATCTCACTCAAGCCAACAAACAACCGCGGGTTTGGGGCGCAAACCAGTCAAGATGTGGTCGTCAATGATGGAAGTTCAAGCCTCGTGCCCAATTTGACTGACTCAAACTCATCTGGACATTGAACATCGATGCAAAGAAACGCAAAGAAACACCAAAGACTTGTCATTGTGATAAAAACAAAAAACATTCACTGATTGCATGTCAGCCCCCTTGCTACCCTGAGTTCCCTGCTTTGCATCTGACTGCCACCAGGCCTGTCCGTTTGGTTCAATGGAAGTCACAGCTTAAATTGTCATGCAATCAGTTGTCAATGATGTCACACAAACATTTGACTCAGTCAGTCCGCCACTCCACTCAGACTCTTTTTGAGGCAATCAGCGGCAATGAACGGGCTTTGGGCTGCAAGATGCAAACACATGACACTGACTGTACACAATTTCACTGAAACATGTTGAACATGTGAAATTTGAATCTCAAGTGAATGCATGCCTCGCAATCCCATTTGCCAAAACGTGCGCTGATTCGATTTCACAGCCGCATGTACCAAAAAGACAATCTTACATTAAATTAGTTTTAGACACTACTCAAGTGCGGCTGCTGCTGGTGGTGGTACGTGGCAAGTTGACACGTGGCAAATGGCCACTGCCACCACAGCTCTAATTGGCTCCGTCTGCTGCAACTTCGGCTATCATCGCAGTATGCCCTGGTCCCAAAGCCATGCTTTCTCGTTGCCTCCGTCAAAGAAAACCTGTCTCTCGACTGTCACTTGGTTCATTGTCTGTCTGTCTGTCTGTCTGTCTGTTTAAAACATCAGCCCCATTGATAGCCGAGTTGCTGATAGCGTTCATCAACCAAGCGTCAAATGAGTCGGTGTCATCTTTGGGAATCTTGTACAGCAGCCGACTCCTGCCGATCAGCAAAGGCAATGCGTCACTTGTCACTTGTCAAATGTCACGCGTCACTTGTCAAATGTCTCGCGTCACTAGTGGAGCCAAGTAGCAATATTTTGAGCTTGGTGACAAATGGCAATGGTGTCAAGTTGGAAGCGACGGACGGTGACACATTGTAGTAGGCGTAGATCTCTTCCCTAAGTTAAAAATGCATGCCACTGACAAATCACAAATGACAAATGACTGACTGACATAATCTAACTTGCCGTCGAGATGCAACACCTCATCATCCTGGAGCCAGTTCATCGGGCCACGTGGCGAAGGTGGCCGTGGTTCCTCTGGCGACTCTGGCGCATCTGGCTCGTCACCATCATGTGTCACATCGGCAGGATTGTCAGGTGCCACCTGGTCCTGGTTCTGGTCCTGCTGCTCCACATTGACATCCTCTTGCCGTGTGTCATCATGCCAATTGGCATGTGACGCATGTGACTCCCAGCCACTTGACCAGTCGCCAGACCACCAGCCGCCGGACCAGCTGTGCCACCAATCATCACCACGCCAAGGCCACGCATGTGGCATGTTCTCAGGAGGAGGTGGTCCTGGTGGTGGCCCTGGAACCCTCAACCTTTTCCTCCAAGGGGCGTTGGCAATGTCAGCCTCGTCACCTGGCACGTAGTCACCCGGCACGTAACTGGATTCCTGGTGACTGGATGCCTGCTGGCTGGATGCCTGGTCCACTGGGCTGGGTTGGCCACCTGTCACCTCACTGCATGGCGCCGATGCCTGTGCTGGAGCTGCCTGTGCTGGAGCTGCCTGTGCTGGAGGTGGCTGTGCTGGAGCTGCCTGTGAGGGAGCTGCCCGTGCTGGAGCTGCCTGTGATGGACGAGGTGGCTGTGCTGGAGCTGGCGGCGCTGGTGGCCGTGCTGGAGCTGCCTGCGCCGGAGTTGCAACAGATGCCTTGCACAGCACGCATTTAAGTCATCAATGGTGACATGTGACATGTGACAATATTGAACCAACCGAACCGTATAATCGGTTGAGACAAGATGCCATTTGCGCAGGTGGCACAGAATCCTGCATCTCGATCAGCGGAATCACATGCTGATATTTCCTTGGAAGATGGGACATCAACAGCGATGAACAACAATGGCAGCAATGCGTGCGATGCGTCACATCATAGCTGGCGAGGCACCGGTGCAGGTTCCATGAGTCTACAAAGATCTCCAACGCCTTGATGCTGACATTCTCCAAACTTCCAGCGGCATTGGCCCACATGGCAGATGGCAAACACCACAGCTGAGCCTTCTCCCTTAGCCGAATGACAAATCGAAATCGAGTCACAATTTACCCAAGGAATCCTCACGCAACAGGACCAAAGCAGAATCAGTTTAATTGAGCTATGCTTCAGTGTCTCCTGTTCATTGTAGAAAGCGTGCATGCCAACGCACATCTGTGAAAATTGACGCTCGGAAACCAACTGCTGGTACCCAATGAGAACATGGCAGCCAAAAGCCTTAGTTGAAGCACATTGTAAACAATTTTAATATTGAATCTCAGATGGCTCAATCATGTGTCATCATGCCTCACCCCTCGAATAGAGTCCAGGCACTTTCAAAATGGCATATACCACAGTGGCGGTGCATGGAGCACGATGCCAGCCAGACGAACAGCAGCACCTTGACAGCACATGTTAGCACAGTTTAGCAACACCTGGCCACCTGTCACGTGTCTCTTGACAGCACATTTTAACACAGTTTAGCAACACCTGGCCACCTGTCACGTGTCAATCGCTGCAGTCAAGACTCCGCACAACCCGGGTCGGGAAGCACAAAATGTCCTCGATGACATTGAGGAAGTCAGGATGTGACATCACCTCCCTCATGGTTGCAGTGGTGACACCGCTTTCACGTGAGCAAAACTCATGTGACCTCAGTCAATGCAAATGATCATGTGACATAAAACATTGAAATTTGAAATATGTGACATCTTACGTGCGCAAACTCAAATGCAAGCGGGTGGCATTTTGGACGTGTGCAACAAGTGCGCAAGGCGGTGTTCCCAACGTTCGGACTCCTTGAAGCCGAGGGCCAAATCCAGATCAGCCACCGTGTGGATATGGCAAGAGTTGATCGCGCAGCCAATCTGGCACATGGCAAAATGAGCTAAGAGTTCTGTATATGAAAACGCACATTCAAAGACTCAAAGATGAAACACTCAGACTTAGCAACATCCCCAGCATGAGCCTGGTTCAGGCACTTGTCACTTGCGCCATATGCCACAACCAGGATGGGTTGCGAGGACCAGGCCACTGAGGTGCCTTTTGGCGTGACGACGGTCTTGGTCTCCCACGCCTTGCCCCAGTCCACCTCAGCAGCAAAGTATGACAATGGTGTGACAAATGACACATGACAAATCAGTTGACGCGCAAGCCAATTTGAAACATCAGTCGAGACGCAGTGCTGGGATCTTGCCATGGGCTGTTTGGCACTGGCACATGGCGATTGGCAAATGCAGCAGGAATGTGACTATCGTCAACCTGAGGTGGTACATCATTCCAATAGTCCTCATCCCATATGCTACTTGGATGGGCCGGCTTGTCGGAGGGAGGCTGCGACGGTGTCACACCTCAGCTGCTAAAAAGACACGACAAGCAAGGAGCCACATGTCATTTTACAATAATAAGTAGTTTGACACAGCGACACACACAGCGCATGATTTATTCCAGGAGTCTGTCTGAGTGCATTCTCAACACCCTTCAAAATGTAGCCAGACTTGTCAGTTGGCTCAGCTCTCTTGAAGGCAGCCCTTGGCAAGGCGAAAATTCAAAAACATTCAATGAGTTGTGAGCATGAGCCGGTTCAGATGTCCACAGCGCTGCCAAGACACACCAAATTCACAGCAGCCTTTTTATCTGCCAAATGAAGCAAATAAAGTGCCTGAGATCAAAAGGGTTGAGCAAGTGACACATGACACATGATTCAAACATGACACATGACACATGACAAATGATCAAGGGGGTTAAACTTCGGCAAAGGCACCCGCACGCACTTCCTGAGTTCAATCGAGTTCATGCTCGCAAACACAACCCGAACACAGTCACAAAAGCACCCAGTGCAATCGAGCATCTTCTCCGTGCACACGGAGGTGTCAATCCCCTCGTCCTCCAGGATCTCTTCAGCACGCGATGGCTGATCGTACTCGTCCATTCACGATGGCAATTGCATGATATGTGACATGTGACTCGGCATGTGACATGGCATGTGTCATGTGTTGGAATCATGTGACATGTGACTGTGACGCCTCATGTGTCAACTTGATCCAAGAATATCATTGAAAGGCAGCTCAACTGTCAACTGTCACCATGACACATGTTTCTCACTTGTCACATGTTTGCAAGTTTAAAATGCTTGACAAGTGATTGCACAAAATGACTCGATCTCAATCTCGCCTTCTCTGACATAGTCCTTGAAGAAAGCACCCGGTCGGACCTCAACAGTGTGACATGTGGCATGTGACAATGTCAATTGAATGAAACACTCCCGAATCTACCACTAATGCAATCTTCTGACTGACTCTTTCATTGTCAAGTGACAAGTGGCTCTAGACTCGAATCAGAATGCGTGAAACTGAGGCATATGGCACATGGCATGTGATCCTGGGCAGCTGACCAAGACATGAAGACAGCCTCAAGTCAAACGGAGCCGACGATTTCAACAGGAAACATGACTTCACATGACACATGACACTGACAATTCATGCAATGGCAAATGAATGACTCTAATTCTGATTAAAAATTATGTCCTACCCCCCCTCTCACTGTGGACCGCACCAAATCCTGACAGACAAACTCCTGATTTCAGGAGTTTGTCTGTCAGGTTCCACCTATCGCGTGATTTTAATTTGAGCCGAAATTCTACAGTAAAGGGCGAGCTGTTGATAGGTAAAAAGATTGCAGAAATACAAAAAAAA